TGAATGAATGAATGAATGAATAAATACATAAAAAAAATCTGTCAGAGGCTTACTGTGTGTCAGGCCCTCTGTTAAGGTAAATTTTACGTTTTTGAGATGTCCACATGAAAATATAGCTACTTTCCTAAAGTATTAGGAGCACATATTAGCTTAGAAACATGTTTGTCTGAAAAGTTGATAAAAGCTATGATACTTGGATAGCTACAGCAGGAGGAATTATAGAATCATAGAATCTCAGAGTTCAGAGGAAACATAGAAGCCCCCTAGTACAATGAATGCCTGAATAAGAATTCACTGTACAACGTACCCAACAAGTGGTCATCTAGTCATTGCTTGATGATCTCCAGTAAGGAAGAACTTGGAGAGTTCATTCCATTTTTGGATAGCTTTAATTATTCCTCAACTTTTCTTTAATTTGCTTCTCTGCAATTTCTGCCCAGTTTCTCCTTGGTCTGTTATCTGGGGCTAAACAGAACAAATCAAATTTACCTTCATATACATGTGACAGCCCCTCAAATGCTTGAAGATAACTATCATATATTACTTATGTCTTCTTCTCACCAGGCTAATTAATCTCAGTTCTTTCAACCATTATTTTGAATTATCTCTTCACCATCTTGGGTGCCCTCTTCTTGATGTTCTACAACACATCAGTGTACTTCCTAAATAATCATCATCTTCTTCTTCTTCTTCTTCTTCTAATTCTCTCCTCTTCCCCTTCCTCTTCCTCCTCCTTTTTTCCCATACCACCCTTTTGACTCATAATGAGTTTGCAGCCTACTAAAACCTCTCAGGTCTCTCTCAAGAGAACTACTGACTGGCTTCCTTTGAATACTTTCCTGCTTACAGCTTTGCATACATCTCAGTTCTTTCTGGCTGTTTATCTTTGAATGAGTGAGCGAACGAATGAAATACATCCTATCTTGTACTTGTGAAATTGATTTTTGAAATTGATTTTAACTTCTCCCATTATGTTTCATTTTGTCTCCAAAGTTGATTCTCTTAGCTTTGTCCTACTTGTAGCTCTGATAAGCATGTAATCTATGGTGCAAGGATATTGTAAACTTACTTCCAACTCTGACCTCAGCTTTTTTGTTTTGGTTTTATTGATGCCTTTCATTTTTATATCATGCTTATTTCTGGATATCAATCCCCAAACTGCACCTCCCCAAAATGAACTTTCCCTAGAAACAAAGAAAAATAGTTAAGTAAAATATAATGGATATAGTAAGCAAGTCTTGGAACATATGCAATATTCTGCCCTAGTAGTCTCCAATTTCTTTTCTAAGAGGAAGGGACAATTATTTGTTATTCAGCTTCCTTTTAATGATCTTTTCACTTACATTGGGTTTTTTGTTTTTTTGTTTTGTTTTGTTTTGCTGAGGCAATCAGGGTTAAGTGACTTGCTCAGGATCCCACAGTCATTAAGTGTCTGAGACCTGATTTGAACTCAGGTCCCCCTGACTCCAATGTGGGAGCTCTATCCACTGTGCCACCTAGCTGCCCCTTCACTTACATTATTATACTCATTAAGCATATTGTTTCTCTGGTTCTATTTATTTCAATCTCTATCAGTTCATACAAATCTTCACATGTATCTCTGGATTCCTCAGTGATTTTACTACATAAAAATATTTTATTACATTCATGAAACATTCTCCAATCAATGGTTATATACTGTTTCTAGTCTTTTGCTACCACAGAAAAGTGCTACTTGAATATATCTGTGTGGTTTAGACCCTTTTTTTTAAAAATAGTTTTGACCGCTTAAGGTTTATGTGCTGCCTTCTCAAAGCATATGAATAGCTTAGCCACTTTTCTCACATAATTCCAAATTGTTTTTTAGAATGTTTGGATCAATTCATAGCTCCACCAATAGCCTATTGGTATATCTATCATCAATTTAGACCAGGCCTGCAAAACATATGGCCTGCGAGGGCCACTTGCAGGCAGCCAAAGGATTTTGAGCGACCCATGAAAAATGTAGAGGATGGGGGCAGCTAGGTGGTGCAGTGGATAGAGCACAGGCCCTAGAGTCAGGAGGACCTGAGTTCAAATCCGACCTCAGACACATAATACTGTGGGCAAATCATTTAACCTCAATTGCCTCAGTGAAAAAAAATGTAGAGGATGCGAAAAAAAAGTAAAGATGTAGTAAGTGCTTTGTCCATGCCCTGCTTAACCCGCCTTCCACTAGTCACTGTTGTGCATGTGCCCATTCTGTAACTTGGTGGGTGAGTTGCACTGTGCACCCTCTCCTGTTTATCACACAACTCATGGCAACCAACCATTGTCAGTCTGTCTCTAATCTGAGAAGAGAATCATATCTTTTTGCCATGTTTTTGGTTGCTACTCATGTTGAACAGGGACAAAGTGAGTGCAGCCATGCGCCAACGCAGCTGATGCCTGCTATGTAATGAGCAGTAACAACTGAGGGCTTCTTCTACTCCTTTGCTGTGCAGCCACCCTCCAAGTTACATGAATGTCTGGCACTCTCTCTAAAGTCAGACATTCAGTTCAGTATTTCTTTGTATGTGAGCAGTTGCTGTGGAGATTTTTTTGGTTGTAACATTAAAGTTTTTGGGGTGACTTTGTAAAATGGGTGATAAAAAGAAACAGAAGATCAAATCAGAGCATAGAGTGTTTAATCCAGAGTGGACAAATAGATACCTGTTTATTTACACCAGAGACAAAACATTGTGCCTTGTTTGCTGAGAAGTAATAGCCATTTCGAAGGAATACAATCTTCATTGCCATTTTGAATCAAAACATCTTGACATAAGCAAATTAGACACCAATGAAAAACAAATTAGAACATCCAAATTGTTGAAAAATCTCAGTGGGGAACAACAGTTTTTCAAAAAAGGAAACTCAGAAAATGAGGCGGCTACTAGAGATTAGTTTTCATATTTCTAAAGAAATAGATTTCAAATATGATTCCAGAGTACAATAAACTGATTGCTGACAAGAAATGTGATATATCCCATTACCTAATGTAAACAGTAAGAAAACCTGAAAAATATATTAAAACTTGTACCACTTAGCAAAGTAATTTTTTTAACATTAATGTGATTTCATGATAAATAAAAATCTTAAGTAATAATTAATTGATATTAATTGAAACTTATCTTTTAAAAAATGATTTATTTTCAAAATAGTTTAATCATTAATTATACATTTACTTGGTAAGTAAGCCACTAAAAACCTATCTGTGGCCCAAAGAAGTTTAGCGTATTTTAATTTTGGCCCCCTACCTACTGCCAAGTTGTTCAGGTCTGACTTAGACTATTTCCCCTGTTTTGCTGTCTTGCCAATTCATACAATGTGAGGTGAAACCTCAGAGTATTAAAATATGAATTTTTCTTATTAGTATTTTGGAGGATGTTTTTGTATAGTTGATAATTTGATGTTCTTTTGAAAACTGTATCCTTTGCACACTTATTTATTGAGGATTGATTCTTAGTCTTATATACTTGTTAACTCCTCATACATTTTGGATATCAAATCTTTACCAATGATATTTGATGTAGATTACCTCCCCTTGACAGTGTTATCAACTTTTTTCTTCCCACGATCTTGAATTATTGATTCTTGCTACCTCACCCAATCAGTGACAGGCAACCAGTTCCTTACAGTGGACCTTGAAATCATCATTTTGATTTTTCTTCCCCTAATGCTCCTTGCCAGTTTCCTTGAATGCTTATGTTACTTATAGAAGCTGGTATTAGAAATAACCAGAAGCTATGTAGTTAAGCTAGAGATCTGGAAAAGACCAAACAGTGAGTGACAGATCTACCTACTATCACTTTCCACAGAAGAAGGGTCCCTGTAACTACAAGCCCTGAATTGTGTTTGGTTTTGAAGTTGGGAAAAAGCATAGCCAAAAAAAAGAAAAGAGAAGAACTATGTAGTTGATTCTCTAAGCCCTGTAGGAACTTGGGTTCTCTCCTCTGAGATGCTTGGACAAGATTCAGAATCTTAACACTTACGAAGTTAAGGCTGAATGTTAGGATAAGGACAATCATAGAACATGGAGAACTTAATGTTCCTGTTCTATATCAATCCCTTGGGCCCTTTAGGGACCAGACACTTGATGCCTGGGGAATGAACTATAAGGAGACACCATTAGGAGGAAGAAGGTAATCCACAGCTGAGGCTAAAGCTCTGAGGCTTCTGTACATACAATCAGCTCATTACCCTCCATTGTGACCATGGAAAAGCAGGTCAGGCTGTCCCTCCCCACTACCAAATACAGCCTGTTAGCTGCCAGCGAATGCTCTTTTTAACCCCTTGGTGAAGTACTTCCCTTTATTTTCATGTGTATAAAAAATGTGTATGGGAGGGAGAGGTTTTGGATACTTCCTAATTTCCCCCAGACCAAAATCCTCCCTAGGGATGGCCCAAGGTTTTTGATTATCTCATCAGTTTTTCAATTTGTCAAGGTTTTTATCTTGCACTCTACTTTTGTGTGTGGTTTGTCTCTCCAACTAGATGATAAGAGTCTGGAGTACAAGAACCCCATATGCTTCCTTTGCATTCCTATACAGTGCTTGGTGCATAGTAGGCACCCAGTAAATATTTTAAAGGCCATAGGATTTATAGCTGGAAGGGAGTTAAGGGAACATCTAGTTCAATCTCTTCATTTTGGAGATGTAGTGTCTCATTGCATTGAAATTAAATATGCCCCAAATCTGAGGAGGAAACAAGGTCTGATGTAGAGATGGAGTTATTGATTCTTGACAAGATAGGAGGGATGCAGGCTCTAAGACTGAGAAGTGAAAGAGCAAACATTAGGGATTGAGGAAGGAAGAACTAAATTGGGAGAAAGGTGATAAATATTTCTGTGTTTTCTTCCTTCCTTTCTTCTCTAGAATAAGTGCCTTTATTGGCACAAAATGTGGAGGGAACAAATGAGGTACACAATTCATTTTGGGTGTGGTACTGCCCTCCTTGGCGGTCTCCATTTATTGAGGGAGTTGCCAACTTATTTCTTCCAACGGTTAGTTGTTATTGAGGGAGGTTGGGTGTTGTTTTAGATTATCTGATTCAGAATTCCTGTCCTTTGGGTGGATATACTCCCCGCTTTTCTTGGCAATCAGGATATCATCTACAGTCACTAGTTCCAACACCACATCAGCAGCCACCCGTAGTCCCCGGGTCTTGACAATGAAGGGGTCAAATACTCCTTCCTGGGTTACATTTATTGTCCCTTCATCCCCCACCCCCATAACCGTGTTCCCAGCCTGGTGATGTGCCTGAAGTTGTGCCAATACATCTGCCCCTTGCATGCCTGCATTCTCTGCTAGGATTACAGGAAGTGACCTAAGAGCCCTGGCAAATGCAAGGATCCCAGGACCATTGGCTCCCTCCAATTGGCTTCCCAGTTCTGAAAGTTTTTTAGCTAGAGCCAACTCTGTTGCCCCAGCTCCTGGTAGCAAGCGGGGATCCTGACTCAGCTGTGCATAGGCACTTATGGCATGATGAACAGCCTGTTCTGCTCCCTTTAGTCCTTCAGCTGTGGATCCCCGAAGGATCACAGTGAAAGCAGGTGCAAGTAAGCAATCCCATTCAAATATCACAGCCAATCCTAGTGCCATTTCCTTTGTATATACCTTAAGGCATTGCCCTGCTACAAGGGGAGGCATCAAGAAAGGCAGCATAGTTATACCCATGACATGGCTCAGCTGGACCACCTGCTGTTTGGACTTTGCCTGCACGACCATGATGCCATGCTGATCAGCATGCAGTAGACTAATCTCATTTATTTGTCCCCATACCACCACCACATTGATACCCTTAGCTGCAAGCTGGGTCACTAGCATTGATGCCATCATCTCCTCTCCTTTCTTGTAGTTAATTAAGTCTTCAGGGCAAGTGAGGTGAGCAGCAGCAGGTGTATGGGGGCTAGCGGGGCCAAAGGGGCAAGAATATAGTGCGACCTTGGCTCCTCCAAGCACAACTGTAATTTTCCCACAAGGTGCTCCATACACTGCCAATCCTGGTATCAGACTTGAATCACCCAGACTTGCTCCAGGCAGTGAGCATACTGCCAAGCGTTCAGGGTTAAAGCTTCCATCAGGATCCCGAGAATCATGACATGCCTGAGTCACCAACTTTGCCAAGTACTCAGGGTGGGAGAGGGAGTGGGTATATACTGCAGAGCGGAGGGCCCAAGTTGGATCTTCCAAAGAGTCTAAGGAACAAACAACCAAGGTAGGCAGTATTTTCAGGGCTTCATTGGTTGCCATAGCATAGGCTTCACGGACACGAGAGTGGGGCAGGCCAGCCCGCACCATGACTTCAGCCTGCTCAAGCAAGGCCCCAGCCAGAAGAACAACAAAGGTTGTGCCATCCCCACTGTTCTCAGCTTGGGTCTGTGCTGCTTCCCGGAGAAGTTGAGCTGCTGGATGTTCTAGTTCCAAGGCTCCAAGGATTGTTGCTGCATACCCTGTACAGACAGTTTTTCCCTGAGATGTCACCAGGAACTTTAGCCTGCCATAAGGGCCATAGCAGCCCTGAAGAATACTAGCCAAGGTCTTGATCGCTGCTACACTGCCCAGCAAGGATTTCTCTTGTTTGCTCAGACATTTTATCTCCTGATCCAGCACCTGTGGGAGGCTTACTGCTGAGGGTTCCGGATCTGCCATTGCCTGAGGAGAGAAGAAGGAAGACTATGGGGGCAAAAGGTCTATGTGAATTTGTAGCATTGAGTAGATAATGCTTCTTGTCTTTAAGCTCTAGGGGTAGCAAATAGGTGGAAATTCCCGTTCCTACCAGCAAGCACCATTAACTCTAATCTGGAGAAGTCACGATGGATAGGATCCATTGGCTTCAATCTAAGGAAATTGATGATGTCATGGGAAAAGTCTTTGGTCTGGGAAGGCCATAATGCTCTGAGTCTGGAGATATAGTAACCCCTTCCCCCCCATTAACTTACGGAAGGGAGTGGGCTGTTAAGACCCCTTAAACTCGAGTAAGTGAAATTCTTTCTTTAATTGCAATTCTGCAGGATGAAGTCACAGAGGACAAGTGGAACCAAGAGTTGAGGTTAGGGGTGGGGGTTAGGAAACAGGATATGAGGTCACAGAAGGATGTTTGGAATTCAAGGTAGCCCCTTTGACTGGAAGAGGCCAATATTGTGTAGTGGCATCTGAGCTTCCAGTCTAGAATCTTCAAGCTTTGTAGGTAACACAGAGGAAAAGGAAGTCATAAGGATACATACTATATATGTGTGTATGTATGTATGCATATACACACATACATACATCTATCATATAAATAATATTTACACGTAGATATACAATCACAGAGGGAGAGACAGAGACAGAGAATATTTTGTTGGCAATCATATCAACTTGTGCCAGTTTATCAGGTTCCTTAAGATGACTCTTGATTTGTTTTTCAGATTCTCCAGCTTGTGAGACTATAACTGGTTGATTGTGTATTCCTGCGCAACTCATCAAAACAAATATCATTGAGATAGCAAAAGGCTGGATAAGGGAAGGGAATGAAAGACAACTGATGATTTACAGATGAACAGATCTGAGATATGGAAAACAGACTGATCTAGAGACAAAGATAGGGAGTTTCAGCCAAATTTTCTTTGGATAGACTTTTGGAGAGGTGGAAAGGAAGAAGGAAGGAATAAGTTCTCATTATGTTCCAGGTATTGTGCTAAGTTCTGGGTATACAAAGACAAACAAGACAGTCTGCCCTCAAGAAGTTTACACTCTAAAGGGGAAAGACAATACATACAAGGGAGCTGAAAAGGTAGAAGGATGGAAGTATCTAGTGGAGAAGGAGTTGGGGAAGATGGCTAGAATGGTTTTGAAATCCAAAATGTCAGGAACAGGTCTAGGAGGAAAATGAAGGCAGGCTTCCATACCACAAAATGGAAGCTTTAGGAGGAACTCACTAATGGGAGAAGGGGGACAGGTCTTGTGGAAGGGTATTCCAGGGTGAGCAGGCAAAAGGGATGTTAAGATGCCCCAGTGCTAGGAGGCCTAGGGCACTGACAGAAATTCTAGGATGATATAGTGGTAGACACATATTGAAGTACAGAAAATCAGGAACAAGTCAGGGATAGGAAAGGTGAGATTAGAAAGGATGGGGGGAGAGAAGGTGCATGGATAGAAAATAGAGAAATAGAGGGATAGTGTAGTGGAATAGTTTTAAATTCACCTCTGTTTGTAGCTTTATAAAGGGGGCTCCCTCTAGCCTTTATAAAATATTTTGAAATATCTTTCCCACCATACCCCTAGAAAAGTCTTCTTCCTTTATGAACCTTTAAGGAAAGACACCTTGGACAGCAGTAACTTTTGATAGAGGCCTCCAGGATAGAAAAGTATAATGTAGCATATGGGTAGACAGAGATTGGCAAAAGAGGAAAGTATACATACTATTTAGTATAGGAAGACAGATTAACCCCACTAAATCATATTAGGGAAGACCTTACCCTGGGAATGTGTTTCCTTCGCTTTTATGATAGAGATGCCTAATAAGAAACAACTTTAATACTAACCATATCAAATATGGAGACTGATAATACTATAGGTGACAGATTCCTGTAGACAAAGGGAAATATGCATTAAAAGCTATTACTATAATAAAAACCTTTTTAAAAAAAAGTATTCATCTAGAGAACATGTTACAACTTTTACTTTGTTTTGGCTTTGGAGACTCAGAAGAGTGGCTTCTCTCTCTCTCTCTCTTTTTTGGCTACACAACGGGGGGCTTCTCTTAAGGCATGTTAAACCTTACTGAGAAAATTCAGTGCCACATACACAGATATTGTTGCTGCTGCTGAACTGCTCATGAATTTTCAGAAATGTCAAGTGTAACAACTAGCAAACAGTATGAGCGCATTGTATATAGATACATTGTATATAAGTATACAGGCTAGCTTATTCACTCAACAATCACATTTGAAAAGATAAAGTTGGTGGGTTTGGATTTTTTTTTTTTTTGGTGATACTGAAAAACATTTCCCCTTTTATGATGTGAAATGTTATAATTTTTTAATGATAATGTTATTTTGTCTCTAAGTCTGTGTCTACATAATGCAAAATGAAGAAGTAATGTCATAATTGCCATGTTTAGTTTGATTCTTGTAGGTAGACCATCAAATACCCATCAAATGACCCCAAATGACTATTTTTACATGAATTATATGGTTTGGCTGTTGATATGGATTAAATTAACCAGTGTCAAATCTTCACTAGATGATACTCAAATATGGTTATAGCTATAGTCACTTAAAATATAAATTTATGGAGTCATTTCATACTTTGCATAGATAGATTATATGGTAGAGTTTAAAAAGCAAATTATTTCCATAAATCACCAACTAACATTGAATTTTTATTCTGAGTGTAATTTTTGGCCTACTTTTAAGGGGGTAACCATCAAATCAGTTCATTTTGTATGTGTATGTAACTACAAAGGCAATGAACCCAAGAAAGTTGTTTTTCTATTTATGATGGCCACGAACTCTATAGATTGGAGTATAATTCCAATGATGAGTTATGCACAAATAGTGGTCTAATTGACATTCTCAAGGGAAAAAATATGATTGTAAAAGAGGTTAGCTGATCATGTAATAAGTGTAAGGTATAATCAGGTGGACAGTTTGAGTGGCACATAGTCCCTAGACCTAGAAGAAGACCTCTAGCACATTGAATAGATCTTATATGGGGGAACATATGAGAGAAGAGGGACAAGAACACATAGAATGAGTTGTAGATGGGTTGATCTGTACTGATGAAGCATTCACATGGATGGTAGCTCACAGGTCTACTGTAGTGTTGAAGCCATGGCTACAATCATAACTTATTACCAGGAGAATTCTGGGAATTTTCAGCTTCCACTGGCAAGGTGTCTTCTAATTTAATCTATTCGGTATGAACGTGAGAGACAGTATGGTGGAAAGAAGACTGACTTTGGAATCGCAATTACAAAATTTAGATCTCATTGTACATGTATAGCCTATATCAGATTGCTCACTATCTTGGGGAGGAGGGAGAGGAGGGAGAAAAAAATTTGGAACTCAAAATGTTATAGAAGTGAATGTTGAAAATTATCTTTATGTGTAATTAGAAAAAAATAAAACACTATTAAGTGAGGGGGAAGGATGGAGAAAAATAAAATAAAATTCTTCAAAATATTAAAAAAAATTGAATCTCAGTTTTATTACTTAACTACCTTTGTGATCTTGGACAAGTAATTTCATCTCTCTGGGACTCACTATCCTAATCTGTAAAGTGGGGATTCAATTATATGATCTCTAAATACTATGATCTATCCCCTCAGTGAACACTTCATTACTCATGAATAGTTTGTCTTAATTGTCCATATGTTAACTTTGTTTCTCTTATATCATGTTGCCTTTCATAGATTTTAAACCACCCGAGAGCAAGGATCATGTCTTTCTATTTAAAATAGTGATTTGGACAAAAACACAACAGTATTTATTAGTAAATGCTTTTTTGAACACAATTCCATTTCTCCCACCCTCATCTCCTATCTCTCTCTACATTTCATTGCTATTTTGTTTAGGTCATTGAAATAATTTTTGTAAATAATTTTGGATTTTTAGATGAAGTTCAGAATATGTCTATTATTAATTTTAAATGATTAAATGTAGGTAAAAATTGAGTTTGTAGGGTTTTTTTGGGGTCATTTTTTGCTTTTAATACTGAACTCAAAGCAGCAATTTTTTTAGTATTAAAAAAGCAAAAATGTAGAGTGATAGATTTTGTCAGAAATTTGAACCTAAAATCTAATTTGTTTAATTAAAATTTAACATTGTACACAAAAAGGATTTTAGATGAATAGCACAGAATTTTAAGTTATTTTATTTTAAAATATCATATGCTTCCTCTCAATAAATAAAAGATGGGATTTAAACTGATAGACTTAAAGTTGGCCACTAGGATTACCTTATATTGTTATGTTCTTACATGTTATTTAGTTATAGTCTGTCTTCATATTTCAGATTCTGTCGAACACTACACCTTTGGATGTAAATTTGTTGTAAAATTTTCCCCTTCCTTCAAAAACAACAGCTCATTCTGACCTCGGAGAATTTAATAAAGCTTTCAAAGGTGTCAGTCTTGCTTTTTGTGTGATCTTGGACAAGGCCCTTAACTTCTTGGTGCCTCCTATGTGCATTTGCAAAATAAGGCACTTTGACTAGATGACATCTAAGATACTGTCTAGGTTCCACATTTTTGATTCTTTAACCCTAGTTATCTTTAAAAATCAAAATCAAAACCAGAACCTCGTCTTTGGTTATAATGGGATGTAGGGGGAAAACGCCTACGATTAGTCTTAGTGCCAATAAAAAAATCAAATTATATCTTATTAACCTTGGGTCAATATCAGAGTAGGAAGGATAATGTATAAACTTAAACTAGACAGTAGAGTCTGAAGAGAATATGGCTAACTATCCCTGGAATCACTTGTCTTAGCTTCCTCATCACACTAGCCCATGCCACCTACAAAGGGAACACTTACTACATAAAGATATTTGTTACATTATCAATAGTTGGTCGGAGTGTTTCCTCAAAATTTATAAGAAATCTAGAACCCTAGCAGTCTAAAGGTTCTAAAGAAGAAAGGCTACTGATTTCAGTCCTCGTATCTTTATATTGTACCATTATGTATTAGGAGAGGTGACCCAAGAATTTTATCCTTTCTTAACTACAGAACACTAGAACCAATTTACTCAGGTTTACTGGTTTCTTTGTTTTGCCTTTTAATGCTTCGTAACATAATTGTTGGATAACACTGCTTTTATGGGCCTTTGCGGGATATTTAAACAACGAACGTTACTATGTCGGAATATATGGTGAAGTTTCACTGAATCCGGAGAGAACTAGAAAAATTATTTACAGGAAGAGTGTTTACTGAGCGTAATTTCTATATATGCTGTGGAAGGCGCGGGCGCGTGCCTTGAGTTAGTGAGTGGAGGAGCATGCAGGGAAATGACTGTGTCCCAACATTAGATTTGTAATTGTATTATACACCCTAGGTTTACTTTATATATAGGACTCTATGCGTGTGTGTGTGAGCGTGAGTACATGTGTGTGCGTGTTTTCAAACAGCCAGCCTTTCTCTCCGTAGCGAGTTCTCCGCTGGATCCAGATCCCGGTCGCCGGATCCGCAGCTTGGCTTTCTCCAAAGCCGGAGTCGGAGGCGCAGCTGCAGCCTCCGCCGCAACGTCAAGAGAGAGAGAACTAGAGCGAGCGAGCGACAGCAAGAAGGGTGGTGGGGGCGGGGGCGGGAGCGGGGGCGGAGGGGGCGGGGGAGGAGGTTGAAGAGAGGGAGGGAGGGAGCGGGTGAGGTCAGTGGCGGCAGCGTCGCGTCAGAGGGAGGAGGGGGAGTGGCGCAGGCGCGGAGGGAGCACTGTGAGTGGCGGCGGTGGGCGCCGGAAAGGGGGGGAGGGGGCCGCCGCGGGGAGAAGGGGGCCCTGGGGAGGTGGGGGGGGGGGAGGGGGGAGAGGAACGAAAGAACGAGGGGCGTAGAGGAGGTGATGTGTGTGTGTGTATGTGTTGGTGTGTGTGAGAGTTGGAGAGGGCTGTGTCGCCTTCAGGGTTAGCCAGCGGAGCAGCCATTGCGTTACAGCCCCGTGTAACACACACACACACACACACACACGCACGCACACCCAGTCAAACTTCCTCCTTTGCTCCGGGAGAGTGGGGGAGTGATAGTAAAACAACAACAACAACAGAAAGATCCAAAACCCAGCCAGAGGGAGAGAAAGAGGCAGGAGCGGGGGCCGGGACCCACCAGCACCAGCTCCACCACCCCTGGAGCAGCAGCTGTCAAAACTTCGCCGCGTCCCTGCCGGGTCCTCGCGGCTCCGTCGGTGCCCTGGCCGCGAAGAGGCGGCGGCGGCGGCGCGAGGGAGGGAGGCTCGGACGGACGGACGGACGAGGACCGAGGTCGGAGAACTAGAGAGGGAGGGAGGAAGCCCCCCGGGCGGCCGCTGCAGCCACCCCGGAGCCAGACGCCCCTTCCGGGCGAGCGCCTCCGCCCCTATCTACCCCTGCCTCCCCTGTGAGGCTCCGGGGTGGGGGGCGCTGTGGGGACTGCCTGGGCCGCCCGCCCCTCCTCCTCCTCCTCCTCCCTCCCAGCCCCCGCCTCCTCCTCGGGCCGGCCCCGCTCCAGCGCTCTGCTGGGGTTGCCCTGTCTGTTCTCACCGCCCCCCCCTCCTTCCTCCGCCCCCCCCCCACGCTCGGCTCCGTCCCCTCCTCGGGGCCTCCGGGCGTGAGTGTGTCTCTGTGTGTGTGAGTGAGTGAGTGTGTGTGTGTGTGTGTGCGCGCGCGCGCGTGTGGGTCGCTGGGTCGCTCGCTCGCTCGCTCCATGTTGCCTCCTCTCCTGGTACCTGCTGCTGCCGCCGCCGCCGCCGCCGCGCTCGGGGCTGCGGGAAATGCGAGAGGCTGAGCCGAGGAGGAGTCGCAGGAGCAGCCGAGGCGGCGGCGGCGGCGGGAGGAGCCCCCCAGTAGCAAGAGCAGCAGCAGCAGCAGCAGGACGACGACGAGGAGGATCCATGTGTCTTTCCTGGTGACTAGGATGTCGTCGGAAGAGGACAAGAGCGGGGAGCAGCCCCATCCGCCGCCGCCGCCGCCGCCGCCGCCGCCGCCCCCTGAGGAGCCGGGAGCCCCGGCGGCCCCGAGCCCCGCAGCCGCAGACAAAAGACCTCGGGGCCGGCCTCGCAAAGATGGCGCTTCCCCTTTCCAGAGAGCCAGAAAGAAGTAAGTTGAGGGGGTGAGGGAGGCAGGCAGGCTGCCAGCCCCGAGCTCGGGGACCCGAGCTGTCACTCGACACACCGGGCCCCTGGCTACCCCGCCCCATCCCCCTCCGAGGCACCCCCTCCCTGTCTCCCCCGCCCGCGCCCTCTCAGGGGAAGTGGGGGTGGGGAGAGTTTCTCCTAATGTCTTAATTAACAGCGCCCCCCCCCAATCTATTCTCCCCTTTCCTGGTTTTAAGTTAATTTTTTTCTTATTCCCCACCCCCACTCTGGAACACTGTGCACCTTTCTCTGCCAAATAAGGCCCCTAGTTGTGTCCCCTCCTTTCGCCAGGACACTTGCCTTATGCAGTTTTGATTTCTGGGCTCTGTTTTCTTAGGACTTCTCTGGGGGAAGCTTCTTTTTTAAGGTACCTCGGCCTAACTGAACATTGGTTGAAACAAATACAATCACAAAAGTCCAGGCAGTGTCCGTGTATAATTTGTTTTAAACTGCAGAGCAGTCCACCTTCTGGAAACTCTTGGCTGTCAAAATGTCTTAGCGAGGTGGTCCTCGTGGCACTCGTTGGTGGGTAAGAGGGACTGAAAGCTTGGGGGGATGTTTTGCTTTGTTAACTATTGATTTTCCTTACACTTGCCTTCCCTCCCCCATTCTTAGCACTGCCTTTAGCCATTTTTACATTTATAGGAAGTCACTTCATCTCTATTCTCTCCTTCCAAATACTCTATGGAACTTAAAAGGTGAACCGTAGTGCCACATTTTTGTTTAACATAAAACAAGTAGTAATCGTGGGGGGTCACTGTTGCCATATAGCATAGATGTGATATTTAGCTGAATTAGTATTGAAATACACAAACGTTTAAGTGTCACTGGACCAGAAATTTTTGTTGTTGTTGTTTTTGGTTATGTAAACTAGTAATACAGACTGCCTGTTAGTACGTAACTATAAAATTCTACTTGGAGGGTCTGTGCCAGGTATTATGAGGAAGTCATTGACAACACTTGTTAATATGGTCTGAAAGTTCCATGAACTTGATGAGAGCTCTTCCTCTAATTATTCCTCTTCTATGCTGTGGTGACTGCTCGGCTTGGTGGGGAGAATTATGAACACTAATGAATGTCCAGGTATTCTGTTATCATACTACTTTCTACATGCTCATGTTTTATTTTGGTGTAAGAGATGATCTTATTGGTTGGTATAGCATGATATGGCATAGCCTTTGACTACATGGGCTCCTTGTTAAGGTTTTTGTTTAATTTGTTGTATTTGTATCTAAAATTGCTAGCAATGTAGCAGGCTTAGTAAATGCTTGTTGATTGATTGCATCAATACTCATCACCAGGTTGCATCTCAGTCATGGGGGGGGGGATTATGTATATTTCAAAAGATCATTTAATTTTCTAGACAAAATCAGGGAAGTTTTCTTGCATCAAACATTCTGTATATAATATTAACATATTGCACCATTTTGGTTACTGTTACTCTTGTCCATAGCCTTTAATGAACTAATTTAAAGTAGGGAGGTAGCACACTTATAAAAGTTGGTTTACCCTGTTTAAATTTTTTTTTTCAACTGTTTTGTATTTTAAAAGCAACATGGTTTGAACACCACATTAGGATCTTAAACTCATGGCTATTTTCTTCCAAGTGTATGTTCATTTTACTGAATATGACTTTTGATGGATACACTTATTTGGATGTCTTTTTAAACATTCTTAACATTTATACAGTTAACCTGAATTTTTAGTCAACTTATTTAAGGTAATTGGTACTGAAGTGAGGGTATTACATTAAAATATCTTAAGTGAACTAGATGAAATTATTTAAGACATTCACCCTTCTTACTATATTAATTTCTAAATCATTTTTGTGAAAGGAGAAAAAAACTTTTTTAGTTAGAAAAAGAGTTGAAAACATATCCTAGACATGATTCAGAAAACCCTGTAACACTTAATGATACTCATATTCTAATGGTATAAAATTTCAAAACATTTTGAAAAATTTTCTCACTGAAAGGAAATTTCACATTCCATTTGTAAACCAGTACTGTATTTCTCAGTAAAGAATGAATGAGACTGTGGTTTCTTTAAAATTTTAGGATAACAAGTTTTTGGCTACAGTGTGCTTGTTAGCTTAAAAAAGATGAAGCTTTTTCTCTAAGTAATTATAATATGCTATGAGTATTACATTTTTTCTTCCTTTTGAGTAGTGGGTTGTTTTTGTTTTAAAGTTTGAGTGGTCAACCTTAGTCTTGAAGCAGGATCAAAACCTTTCTTATAATTCCTAACAATGGAAATCAATATAAAAATTCTCTAGTACTAAGGTGTTGTTTTGTATGTTTGATTTTCACTTGTGTTTTCCTTCAGTAAGAACCCAACTAAGAAAGATGTAATTGGGCAGGACCTTGAAAGTGAAACTGTTAGAAATTTGTAGACCTTTAATAGCTAAAAAGTCTTGATGTGAAATAATGTCTAAACTATTAAAAAAATAAGTTAGTAAAATGTAATGGGACAAAATCCTTCAAAATATCATTAAACTTGTGAAAATATCTTATTATGAAACATTGAATTTAAAATGAAATTTCTCTAAAGTCTGATATTAACAATATTGGTTTAAAAAAAACCTTTTTGCTGGGTGATCTTATTTTCTTATGGATCTAAAGCAGATAAGGAAATGCTTTTCAGCACTTAGTTTTCTCCCATTAGCTATTTAGGGTTTTTTTTTAATTTGCTAGATAACATTTTTTAAAAATCCCCAAGCAATCTAATTGCTGGTATGGTATTAACTATAATTGTATCAAATTATGCTTATTATAGTCAAGGACTTTGAATTAGGGTATTAGTCTTAGGACAGAGTTTTTTTTTTAAAAGTGTAGTGAATTAGGCTTACCTTGTTGAGATTTCATGTGAAATGGCAAAAGCTTATTTTGTCTGCATTTTAAATATACTAGTTAGTAATTCAGATTAATTAGTATGGAAACATGGAGTAGTTGATAGTGATGCAGGTACAAATATTGATTAAGAAATTCCAGTACTACTGGGACTGGACAAAGGGATCTGTTGGAAAGTTGTATTTTTTTTCCCTCTCAGTTAACAGTAAGGGAACTTTTTTTTTTTTTAAATAAAATGTCGATGAAGAGTTCAGTCTAAATTTTATGCCACTAAATTAGGTAAGGAGGACGATTCCCACAGTATCTACCAAGCTAATAAAATTGCTTTGAGAAATGTGAAGGACTTCCCCTGACCTTTATCAACGACCTGCTCATATCCTGAAGCATTTTTATTTTATGGGAAGAGAATCTTTGCAATTATTAGAGAACCACCTTGAGAATTATTACTGATGTAGAAAATAACTTGGGAACTGACTTCTGATAATACCATCCAAAAAATGGGAGGGGGGAGCGGGAAATGAATGTGGAGCTTTGTGAATGTGGCTCCTTTGTATCTGTAAATGAAGAGAGAAAGTAGGGGTAGTTTTGCAACCAGCACCATTATGATATTTATGGCAGGTAACAAAGATGTCACTGGTCATCACCAATATCATTTACTGCTTAGGTAATATCACAAAAACTCCACCTGTATTTCTTGAGAAGGAACTTTCAAGGTAGCTGTTTTGTAACTGAAGTATCTCAAAGTAAATGAAAACTTTGGAAAATTGATATGATGAACTTGACACTGTTGAAAAGCAACACATAAGGGGGTGAGATTTTTCTTTTTTTTTTTGAAACAAATTTTGTTAGAGTTTGTTCTTATTTCTGTGCATAGCTATTTATGTGCCTTTTTAAATAGAATTATATTAAAGTATGTAATTTATGTTCCAGTTTTTTTTTTTTAGAAAAAATGTCTTGGTATGAAATATATTGGAATAGTGTATATTAGCTGACCAGCTCAAAATTGAAATAAAGACTAGAAAAATTGTAGCAGTCATGTTTGAAATAGAATTGGAATTGTAAAATTCCAAAAGCTTTACTTTATCCGGATGCTTGATTTCATTAATTAGCAATTGGAGCTTTTTTCCCCTCTATTCCAAATATGAGGTCACTGCATGTTTTCTTTTTCCTCTCTATTGATTTCTCTTCAGTTGAATTATCCATTTTTAGTATGGGGAATTTTTGTATAGAAAAAATGTTATCTTAGAATTTTTCAGTTTTATGCCTTACTGTCAGGATTGGTAATTTCTAGGATATCAGGCCAGAAAGGCAGCACTTTGAGCAGGGATAGTACACTGTTACTTGTTTACCCTCTTTAAAATTATAGGTTGAACCACAGGCCTTAGTCAAATTTCCTGTGCCATGGTAATTGAAATCTATTAAAAATCCACTCATAATTATTACTCAAAGAATTTTTTTTTCACTGCTACTAAGAGCTTTATGTAATGCTTTAAGTTTTCATAGCACTTATCCCATGTGATCCTCAAAACAACCTTGGGAAGTACTTCGAATTATCCCCATTTTACAAAAGATGAAACTGAGGTAGACCAAGATTAAATGACTTGCCCAGGGTCACATTCTCACTTTAGTGAGTGTCTGAGCTAGGATTTTGAACTAAGAACTTCTTGACTCCATATTGAGCACTCTGTCCTCTGTGCCACTAATTTGCCTCCTAGACTCCTTAAGGCTTTCTAAGACTAGATTTTAGTTACTAAAAAACTTCAGGTGCTATTCGCTCTTTCCTCCTCTAATAATGCTCCTTCACTGATCAGACTTTTGGACTGAATTTGATTACTGGTTTTAATGGCACATAGGTAGACATCCTTAAATTCCATGTTTCTCTTTCTGTATCTTGTTTCATTCTTTCTCCTTATTTTCCCTACTCTCCCCCTAAAATCACTTGTCTCGTTTTTCTTTATTTTACTTTGCTTCCTCCATTCCCCTTATCCTTTTTCTAATTTTTTTTGGAAATTTAAATATTTGATAGGTTATATTTTTATATTGTTTCCCAAAGTATCTTTGAATCTTCCAGAGATTTATCCTATTAAGCAGAAGCAGGAAGGGGAAAAGAAAA